GATGGGAGTCAAGCCATATTTTCCACAGACACTATATTACCACAGAGAAAATATACTTGGTCAAGGGATTTAATAATAGCATACTGAAGGAGCCATATAATACTGAAAAGCTAAAAAACAAACAAACAAACAAACAAAAAACAACAACTCAGGTTTAAAATAGAAATGTATAGTGTAATTTTATCATTAAAAATTTTGATAAAGCTTGGTGGCTCTAAAATCTGTAATCCCAGCACTTTGGGGGCTGAGGCTTATCTGGGCTACAAAGAAAGATTATTTCAAAACAAAATTCTGTACAAACACATACTTAAAATCTACGCATCCTTCTTATTCAAAAACACAGAAGAGCTGGTGCACACCCTTAAACTCAGCACTGGGGTGGCAGAGACAGGCAGATTGAGGTCAATGAGTCTAACTGGGGCTACAGGAAGACCCTATCTCAAAAAACAAAAACCCAACAACAACAACAGAAACAACAACCCCCCCAAAACAAAAACCAAAGCAAACCAGAGGAGAATCATACCACTTTACATAAAGATTTATTTATTATTACTTTTTGGGGGAGGATAGTATTAGAGATTGAATATAGAGTTTTGTGCATTGTAGTCAAGTAGTCTACCACTAAGCTACACCCCTAGTCTTATTTTTGAGAAAAAGTCTTACTAAGTTGCCCAAGATAACTTTCAAATTGCAATTCTCTTGTCTCAGTCTCCTGAGTTGCTAGAATTACCCACCCACATCAACAAGCATGGCTACATCTAGCTACTGATTAACAACGTAAGTGATTCAGTTGGTACAGACATGTACAGTATTAGGGTATTGTGGGTAAGTGGCTCTGAGTTCATACCAGGATTGTACACTGAACCTATTGGGCTCTCACTTCTTCCTTAACAATGAGGTGAAATGAAGGTCTAATCCAGTGGCTACATTTCGACATAACGGATGTGAAGCACCTTCTGATACACAGTTGGTATTCAATAAATATTTGGTCAATTATCATTAATACCTTCTGTTTCTTTTTCAGTCTTTTTTTCTCTTTCTTCTTCTCTAAAAACTGTTCCCAAGGGGTCAGTCTATCCTTTCCCTCCTGCTTGTTTTTGACCATCTCTTCTGCACTTTCTTTAAGACCTAGAAAAAAAATTCAAATAGTTTAGTTTAAATGTTGTATCTCTGATCAGTTCAAAGTTTACAAACACAAAATGAACTAGATGTAATTTATGTAACAAGGCAATATGCAATAGTGAATATGTGTAGCATCCAAAGATCAGAGAATGATAGGGAATAAATTTTTATAAATCCTAGTTCCTAAAAACAAACATTAATAAATCTAGCCAAATGAAATAAAACCAAATCAACAAATTCAGCAACTTGATATACTGTCAAGTCACTAAAGAAAAACCCTGTATTAGCCAGACATAGTGGTCCAATCTATACTTCCAGCACTTCAAGACTGAGGATGATTGGGTGTTTGAGTCCAAATGTGCTATCCAGTAAGAAACACTGTCTCTAAAGGAATAAAACTGAAAAAGAAAACCCTCTACTTAGGCCCAACCTTCCTTCCTCTACATTTAATTGTTCTGTGCCTTCAAGAAAAATTCCAACTTCTTTTTGGCTAAAACCTAGTGAAAAAAAATTATGGAGCAAAATCTCAGGCCATAATTACTAATTAATTTGAGAAAATCATCTCTAGTTCTTCCTGTCACCTGTGAAGCCTGTGCTCTCAGGCATGGCAACAACTGACTAGGAAGGAAATGCCTACTGAAATATCCCAGGAAGGAAAAATCCCCAGCGTCTCTGGTTCAAGCATTCTCTAAGGCTATGCAATATAGATCAAAAGGACCAACTTGACAGTCACTCAGTATGGCTTGCTTCCTTCCTATAATTTGTTCTTGATTCATGTTTCTAGGTGTCATATATTCCTTCATTCTGTAGGTTTAATTAGCATTTTAAACGTATCTGGTACAGTATGGAGGATAATCAGCTCAATTCCATCTGTACATCTTCCTGTGTTCTTACACAATTTACCTGTTCTCAGTCCCAGTACACTCATCAGTAAAACAGAGCATTATCCTTGGGATCGTTCCTATTTTTATAGTATTTAGAATATATTTGGAATTTCTTGACAAGGGCTTCCAAAAGCATCCCTCTATTGGGTTCCTCCTCATTTTTCTTTTGTCTGCCAAGGCTGGACTCTAGAATGATGGATTCAGGATTTGCTTTCAGTTATTTTGATAACTGTTGGAGTGGTTAGAATCAGTGTCAGTTCCCTCTCAAAGGCTTCTAGATAGGGGGAGGAAACACATTTATCCAT